CTACTTCTATTATTTAATGGAAGCAGGAAGAATAAAAGTTGAGAACTATTCATCATTACATTTTTAATGTTAATACGTTTTACAAATCACAGAAATGTGGCTAGTTATAGGTTTAAAATAATAAATAACTCATTGTTTCAGAGAACCCTATAAAAATGTGACAAATAAAATAAAATAAAATTTACTATTATGTTATTAAATAGACAAATTAATTAAATGAAACAGTGTACTGTCCTTAAATTTTAGAAAAGCATCAATTGATTTTCATCAAACTCAAGATGATGTCTGATTTCTTCTTTTGTCAAATGATTTTCAGACATTCAGCAAAGAGAAACAAAAAATAAGATGACAAGAAATAGAAAAAATGAACAAAAAACAACTTTCAACATCTTCGATTTGGCTTTCAGTGATTGAAAATGCATGTAAACTTACAATCTGAATAAGTAAAATATTATTTTGGACTACTAAAATTGCTTACAGGAGTGAGCACCGTAAAGCAGGGAATGCTGCAGTCAGAACTTATCTTCAAATCAACTTTATGTCTGTTAGGGAGAAGGATTGGAGATTCGTACATTTCATTTTGAATGTTGCCAAGTAAAAGTACTGAAGCCACGTGACATGTAAAATCGTCATACCCACTTTCAGTACTATAAAAGCACAAAGGCAGCACGGAGTGCTGCCTCGCACTCACCGGAATGTTAAACAACTGTTTTCAGCCTATGGTTTGTGCGTGCGTGAGTGTGTGCGTGTGTGTGTTTTTAACGACGGGGGAAATGCATTTACGCACCCTCGACCCAGACTCTCATATCCGTGCCGATTCGTGTGGGACTCATCCGTAGATAATACCAACTAAAACCCTACGTCCCTCGCCCCACCTACGTAACCGCCGTCAGGCATTACTTCCTTAGGTAGGGTGGCGGGGCTATTCTAGCCCTCCTCCTTTACGCCTTTATTGGCTTCCACATCTCGCACGCTCTTCAATTCTGAGGCGTCGCATGACCCGGGCAGCGTACGTTGCAATTGCGGCCCATCTCTCTTCCGTGGTCATCATCAGTCGTATGGTGTTCTCCGGTGTCAGGCGCTGTTGTAGGATTTCCTGCAATTGGTCTCGTTCTCCTGAGAATCACAGGCAGTTATACACCACGTGCTCCACATCCTTCTCCTGTCCTGGGCAAGCAGGACACGTCGGGTCGTCGTCGAGCTTCAATCGGTGCAGGTACGCTCTAAAACATCCATGCCCCGTCAGCAACTGAATCACGAAGAAGTCCACTTCCTCCGTGAACCCTCGACGTTCACTCGTTGATCCGTGGGATAAGACGGTGGGTCCACCTACCGTTCAGCGTTGCGTCCCAGCTGCTTTGTCTCATCGTTTCCATCTTCTCTTCTTCCAGCGCAACGAGGGCTTCTGTTCGTGAGCCGTGTCTTCCCTGGTAGTAGATCCGTCGGCGCTCGTCCGCCAGAATCTCTATAGGCGTCATTCCTGCTACTACCCATACGGCGTCATATGACACCGTGCACTCTCCAAGCACTCCGACGGTAGACGGATATGGTCCTCCTGGCGTATGCTGTTGCTGTTGTGTGTGTGTGTGTGTTTAGAAGATTTTCCCCTGCCCACGTAAAGACACAGCGGAACCCGCCACCCGCAGCGTGTGGGATTCATAGCTAGCCTATGCCTACCCACTAAAAACCCCTCCCTTTCCTCCTATTCCTTCTCTGCGGAACGCCATCAGGCATTGCATCACGGAGAATGGAAGGATGGGCTTTTCGCACTACATCATGAAATATTAGGCGGGACTTCTTCGTAAGCTAACTCCTCGGACGGAGCGTCTTCAGGACGTTTCCATAGGTGGCTACCGCACTCCAATACCTTGTGTCAGCAAGGCATCCTAGTGACGATGTCAGGGGTCACTTCCTCTTGGAGGAGTCTGTAAATTCTTCCCTTCCCTTTCTCGGAGACAAGCGTGGACAATGAAAGAACAGTGATTCTACATCTTCAATCACCGGGAAACCACCTTGGGCATGAGACTATCCGTCCAACCGAATCCGGAAACTGATACTGTCGTAACATCCCGTCCCTGTCAGGATCTGCAGTTAGATAAAATCTAATTTCCATGTTCCCCGTTTAATCCACGTCATTCGGGAATGACCGAAATGTCCATCGCCCAGTGATGATTCTCCCATCATCGTTGCATTGGTTCCATTGTTCAGCCCCGCTCGCTTCTTCTAATGGTATCCCAGTTTGAAGCCCCCTCCCGCTTGCGCAAATAGTCTTGCTCTCTCACTGCGCAATGAGTCATCGGAGGCATTCTGCTAACACACGACACGCATACATAGGAACTGCGAAACGCCCGGGACACCGCAAAGGCGGACCTTCTATGCCACCACTTAGCCCACGAGGCGTATGACCTGAATGCCCCATGGCATCAAGCCCAAAATAGGGCTCGTAGAGAGAATGGAATTTAGCTACCTATCAGCAGGCCCTCCGGCTTCTTTGCCCAGACCCCCTACATTAGGCATAAGCTTCCATCGATCCATTACGAGACGCTCTCTCGGAACACTTGCGCAGGTGCTCTCAAGCCAGTCTCGCGTCAATATGCACTCCCAAATACCTCCCAGTGACAGCTGCGAGGATATTTTGCAGCCCTCGCACATTAAGAGTAATACTCTCTCTCCAATGTTTTCGTGCCCGTTCCACCAGACAGCCTCTGTTTTAATGGGCACCATCTGTAGCCCTACCGACGTAAGCCACCCGCCGGATCTCCCCACTGCCGCGTTGGCAACCGCTGACTGTTCAATGTATTGTGCCGACAACAACAATTGCACATCGTCAGCAATCCAAGAGTTCTGCGCCTCCGGCCAACTCGAGCTTCAACACGCGTCATACATAATATTCCACAACATGACCCCAAGTACCGAGCCTTTGGACACCGACCTGTGACCGTATTAAATTGTACTCCAGCCCAGTTTCATTAGGAGATTCTCTCCTTAAAGTAACTTTTTACCAAGTTCAGATGACTTGGAACTCTCAAAGTGTGCCGCAGAAAAAGAAGGTGAGCTCCACCTTGCAGTGTTTAAAGGGTTTTTACGTCTAGGATCGACTATAGCACAAATACTCATAGGACCGCTTTCCTCGTTTCCTTCAATCCTTGCGTCGATGTCAAGACGTACCTAATGCATCTACCTGGATCCTCGCTTTTCTAAAGCCGACTGATTATCAGACAATCCTTGGCCCCTCGTAATGACTCAATACGATTGCAGATAATCCGCTCCAACACTTTGCCTGCTGTGTCCAGTAAGCATATTGGCCGATAGGCTAGGCCGATCAGTAGGTGCCTTATCGCCCTTCGAAAAAAGGATAGCTTTCTAGTGTGTTGTGTGTTGTGTGTGTGTGGTGTGTGTGTATGTGTGTGTGTGTGGTGGTGTGTGTTGTGTGTGTGGCTTTTTGTGGTGTGTGTGTGTGTGTGTTTTGGGTGTAGTGGTGTGTGTGTGGTTGTGTGTGTGTGTGTGTGGTGTGTTGTTGTGTGTTGTGTGTTGGGTGTGGTGTGTGGTGTGTGTGTGTTTGTGTGGGGGTGTCGGTGTGTGTGTGTGATGTGGGTGTGTTGTGTGTGTGGTGTGTGGTGTGTGTGTGTGTGTGTGTGTGTGTGATGTGTGTGTGTTGTGTGTGTGGTGTGGTTGTGTGGTGTGTGTGTGTGTGTGTGGTGTGTGTGGTGTGTGTGTTGTGTGTTGATGTGTTGTGTGTGTGTGTGTGTGTGGGTGGTGGTGTGGTGTGTGTGTGATGTGGTGTGTGTGTGGGCTGTTTGTATGTGTTGTTGTGTGTGGGTGTGTGTGTGTGTGGGTTGTCGTGTGTGTGTGTGTTGTTGTGTGTTGTGTTGTGTGTGTGTGTGTGGTGTGTGTGTGGTTGTTGTTTGTGTGTGTGTGTGTGTGTGTGGTAATGTGGTGTGTGTTGCTGTGTGTGTGGTGTGTGTGTTGTTTGGCGTGTGGCGTGTGTGCGTGTTGTGCGTGTGTGCTGTGTGCGTGTGGGCGTGTGGCGGTCGTTGCTGTGTGCGTGTTGCGTGTGGCGTGTGGTGGTTGTGCGTTGTGCGTGTGTCGTGTTGTGCGTGTGTGCGTGTGTGCGTGGCGTGTGGCGTGTGTGCGGTGGTCGTGTGTGCCTGTGTCGTGTGTGCTGTGTGCGTTGCGTGTGTGCGTGTGTGCGTTGTGCGTGTGTGCGTGTGTGCAGTGTGCGGTGTGCGTGTTGCGTGTGTGCGTGTTAGCGTTGTGCGTGTTGCCTGTGTGCGTGGTGCGTGGTGCTGTGTGCGTGTTCTGTGTGCGTGTCGTGCGGCGTGCGTTGCGTAGCGTCGCGCGTGCGCGCGTAGCGCGCGTGCGCGCACGTCTGGCGCGTGTGCGCGTTTTTACGGATAAATATGCGATATTTTCTTCGATTTCTAGAACAAGGCCTAATAAGTTTTGTAAAAGAATATAGAATGTCCAAATTGTGTGAAACCATGGGTATTTTCAAAACCTCAACATTATTTTGTCCAGCAAACAGTCTTTGTACAAAGTGAGGAGACAAATCACAAGATCTACATGTGAGGATGAATAAAAGCGGTAAAATATTGGGCGCGTGGTCGCTGTGCGTTGCGTAATATTGTGCGCTGCGCGGCTGCGCGCTGCGCGATTTTTACATAAATGCGTAATTTCTCCATTCTAGAACAGCCTAATAATTTAAGAATATAGAATGTCAAATTGTGTAACCATGGTATTTTCAACCTCAACATTTAGTTTGTCCACAAACAGTCTTTTACAAAGTGAGAGACAAGATCACAGATCTACATTTGATATGAATAAAAGCGTAAAATATTGGTGATATATTTTTTGTAATATATAAACTTTTTAAAGTGTTATGTTGAATCATAGGAAGTTTTTTAATATTTTGTTGAATTGACCTGTTCAATACAATTTTCAGTAGCAATGCTACATTAAATGTCAGTGAATGGTGTATCTTCAGAAAGTGTTTGTTGTAGCAACTCAATGCTGGCAGTGCCAATTCTAATGGACCTGCAAGCATGCCTGTAGAAGAGGCGGTTCCTGTTGTGGCTCTGCAGCTCCGACATTCCAGTGCCAATACAAGTTCCAGTTCTGGAAGTTTAGCAGGCCTAAGTGACTCGGATATTTCAGGGCCTCATGGCTTTGTGATTGCTCTTCATCGTAAAATGGTGAGTTTTTATTCTCTTAAGGTAACTTTATTTTGTTCCCTGCCTAAACAGAATTGAATATTTCTTGTTATTATTTGTGTCCTTGACATGGCAGTTTTCAAGATCACAAGTGACTTTGTCATTTGTGTTATTTTGTTAATATTTAGCTAAACCGTGTTTTTCATTTCATTCAACACTTGTTTCAAATCTTTGATTAAGAAAAAAAAATTACGGTTGATTTTTTAAGGTGTTATTATCACATGTAATACAATAAAATTGGACTCAGCTGGAATCACTCAGAACCAAAAACATTTGTGATTCAGTGGCGGCTGGAACGCGGGTGCAGTGTTGGGGATGGCAGCTGGCTGGCGACTGGCCGCCAGTAGATATATATGTATTTAAGATGCAGCTAATTGCCTCCTCTCAATGTGTTTATCCAATCTAAAACCAAAGATGTAAAATTATCTTAAATACAGTCTCGAGCATTTACGAAACTTTTCTCACGTATTCCATGTGCTAACATTGTTTATGGAATGCAGGAAAAAAATAAATGTTATAAAAAAACCTGTCTTTTAAAGAATTGAAGGGTAGAGAGGGATCTGAAAATAGATAAATCTTAGTTTTTCTTGATATATATTCTCCCCCAGCTGGTGAAGAAAAAAAAATCGTTTTTTTCATTATTATTCCACCGCTGCCTTTGCAATAATAGTATTATGTAAAGTATGCTTTAATGTATCTTGTATGTCTAGAGATTATTTCATTGATTTATTTTCAAAATTTTAGTTTTGAGTGTAAAACATTTTACAACTTGTATTCTCTTTAAGAAGAAGCACAACGCAAATACCGAGTAGTTTAGATGTTATTTATACATATGTATGTGATGCAACATTATTATTTCTTTTCTAGATACGACAAGATGCATATTTTTTGTCATCACAGAAAACAAAGCCAAGTTTATTTGGACTTCCTGTCATAGTTCCATGCAGTGACTCAACTACTCATCAAGATTTGTACCAAGCTGTGTGGGTACAAGTGGCACGACTTGTTTCTCCTCTACCTCCTTCAGAGAGTGCTGCCCCAAACCATGCGCAGGATTGGTGAGTGTGATATTTAATTTTGGAGTTCTTAGAGATTGTTTACTGTATTGGATATTTTTGCTCTTTTCAATTTCAATATTCAATTGATTTATTGCCTAATTAAAACCCTTCCCTTCTCCTCTAATAATACCATAGACCATAGCATTGCCATATCCATGTGTTGGATATGTAGGTTTTATTCATTTACTAGTAAAATAAGTCATATATATAATGACTACCCGTGATTGTCTTTTGATCGTAACATAGGTTTAGTTCATAGTTTTTAAAAGTTCTTTCAAGCATACTACAGGTATTATACGTGAAGTTCAGTGCTAATGTAACACAGGTTTATGAAACAGTTGATTGCGGACTTTGGGAGATTTGACTATTCACTCGTAGCTTTGTTAAGTCTAATCTCGTAAATTTAAACATTATTAATGAAGTCCTCATAATGTCAAACTCGTAATGCAATGCAATTCAAGAATTGTAACATGAATCCAAGTCAAAATGCAAATAAGAATTGGACTGTAAATCAGTCTGAAATAGAAAAGAGTGAACATCACGAATGTGGATAGAAGGGAGAATAATAATCATTACTCCTCCCTAATTCTAACTATTATGAGGTCATGGTTCTTCCTCTCCTGTACACCCTAGTGTAATGCATCCCTTTAATTTCTCCAATCTTGTTCAAGGTCCTTTTGCTGCTTTATAACTTTGGGTTTAATTAGCCCAATTGGCTATGGGGAAATCAGGTTGCCAGCCATCTCAGTACGCAGGCTGCCAGGTCAACCCCTTGCACTTACATACACTCATGGCTTTTCATAATTTGCCCTAGAGAAAATCCAGATCTCTAAACAACAAGTACGTTTGTGTTTGTACTTGATTATGTGGGGAGGTCTTGTTTCCCTCATACCTCCCCTCTGCAGTTTCTCCGCCCACCTGCAATTCCCTGAGAGCTGTCCTAGGAAACTTTTTCACAAGAGATCATGACCTACCCACATCAGTCATGCTTAGGGTGGAAAATGTTAATTTCTGTTTGTTCTCTGTGTTTGTTGAACGCTACACAGCAGAGACATCTGGTCTTGGTTTGTTTCATCTGATTCTTCCAATATGATTGTTGTATGTTACATCACAATAGATACAAACGTTCAGTGGGCAAAGGGGGCCAAAATGGAGTTCCAAAAATCATGTTTTCTAGCTGCACATGCCAGTGATTTGAAACTGTCCTACTAAAATATGTTTAGACCATGTTAATTGACTCCTTCACGGAGAGGCTGTGCTGTATTTGTTCCGGATAAGAAAGAGATTATTCAGGTGGATGGATTCAAATTGCGATAAGGTGTTTTTTATTTTGTAAAGTGATCTTTTGATTGATGTATATGTGTGTGTATCAGCTTGGGCTCATGCATTTATGAATGAATGAAGGAATATATAAATAACTAAATGGATAGATGAATGAATGAATAAAAATAGAGAAATCAATCAATAAACAAAAAAGAATGAAAAAGAAACTACCACAAAGCAGAAATAAATAAACAATAGATTGTAAACAAATATAAAAATGAATGAGTGAGTGAATGAATAATTAAATAAACATTATTTTAGGGCAGGGGTGACGGCTAATTATATTGCATGAGTTTGTATTTAGGTCACGTTACTAACATATACATTTACTTTATTCAGGTCATAAAGGTTAATAAAAGTCTTTTGTTGTAGTTAAGAAAACTTGTGTTTATGTAAATAGTGATTTGTCGTAGTAAATATGATGAATATTGCTTTGATGCTTTGTGAACAGTGTTAAAAGTAAGCTTGTTCCTAAAGCACTTTTATTTCTAGTGATGACAGCCTGGGCTACGAATTCCCGTTTGTTCTGAAAGCAGTGCAGCGAGATGGCTCTCAGTGTGCATGGTGTCCTTGGTATCGGTTTTGCCGAGGGTGTCGGATTCAGTGCTGTGATGCAGAGTTTAACTTCAGTTGTTCCCATTTGGCCATTGATTGGGATCCAACTGCTCTGCATCTGCGCTACCAGACTTCTCAAGAGCGGGTAAGGAGTTCTTTATGATAGAATCATTTAAACATATCAAAAGGTCTCAGATTGCCCAATTATTTTAATATTCTAATATTTATTTCAATAAAAGTAAATATTTGAGAATTTGAATTAATTTTTTTTTTTTTTTTAAGAAGCATCAACATAAATCTTAAAACTTCTTATGTGAATATCTCACCACACTCACCATTATTTATTGTATATAAAATTAAGAAATTGCATGATTTTGTGTCAACAGGTAGTTGTGGATCATGAGAGTGTGGCATTGACTCGCCAGCAACAAAGTGAACCTATTAATCTTGATTATTGTTTGGAAGCCTTTACTAGGGAAGAACAACTTGGAGAAGATGAAAAGTATTACTGTTCCAAATGCAGAGAGCATCAATTAGCTAGCAAAAAGTTGCAAATTTGGAGGTTACCACCGGTTCTTGTGAGTAGATAGTTTTCAATATATTTTAATATTGTATTTAAATAATATTCAATATTTTTTTGTACAACATTACAAATTGAATTTGAATGATTTGCAGATTGTGCATCTTAAGCGATTTCAATTTGTTAATGGAAAATGGGTAAAGTCACAGAAAGTTGTAAACTTTCCTTTCAATAACTTCGATCCCACATCATATCTTGCCTCAGTTCCAAAACAAACTGTCATTCGGCATTCAGAATTAAAACAAGCCAGCTTAAATGAAAATAGGTAAGTGAAATGATTTTTTTTGCTTGTTTCCTTTCCTTTTTTTACTAAATTACTATTGTTTGTGAAGTTTTACGATGATTGAAGAGTGGGGATGCATGCATGCATGCATGGACATGTGCTGATGACTGCACACATACGTTAGTACCCCAAACGTTTCTTTCTCTCAGGATGCACCTTGTATGTGCACTGACCTTCTCACTCTCTGCAGGCCCTTTTACTTGTCATAATAACATACAAGGTGTTTTATCACCCGGAATCTCAATTAACACAAAGCTTGAAACTGAAGCAAGCAGTTGTGCATTGCCACCAGTTGTAGCCCATGCAAGACACAGCTTTTATTTCCAGAGTGAAAGTGAGTGGTAACATCAGTAAGGTCCCCTGCGTAAGGTCCCATGCCTGCGACCTCCACCTCTGGGCAGACTTCTTGAATGTTGACCTTTTGTCAAAGATATTTTTTTCCAAGCTGTGTAGTGTTGGATTTTTTTTTAAACCAAAGTTTTAGAGTTCTTATAACTGAATCTTATTGTTCATATTTCTAATGTAAATGAAGTGAGACTAGTGACTTAAGTTCAATATAACTGAGAGTTCATTATATCCAAGTTCACTATAACTTGAGTCAACTGGACCCTTATAAAGATGACATAAATCCAATTTTCATTGTTAATTTGAATTTTCAAAAATTGCAAAGGTTTGTACTTTTTTGCGCCTTACGGTACAACTACGTTATTCAAGATGAGATGTTTTCTACAAAAAGAAGTGTTCTCCACAATGACTGTAATTATAGTCATAGATGTTTTTTAAATATTGGTAATTTGGGGTGTTGTAAGGGTAGTTGTAAAAACTACATGTTCTCAAAAATGGTTCCAATTTTTTTTCTTTAACCCTTCGATCCAGATAGTGCTATATGCACTGAGTAACATGACACCAATGCCATTTTGATGTATTCTTCTGATTTTTCAATATTTACACTAATCTAATTTTTTTGAAATATCTCTCACATTGTTAATATTTACATATGGGCATTTTTGTACATTATTGGGTTTGTTTGTATAAGTACTTCAAACACTTGTTATGAAGCTTCTTCAAAACTCTCAACTTTTGTATGAGCTCAAAATTGTGCAGTTTTAGAAACACTCAAACATTATTTTAAAAGTATCTCTAAATGTTTCAAAGACAATTTGCTTATAGGGCCAGGTTTTACTCTTCTATAAGGTCATATTTCAATTTTACTGTTTGGGGATTGAAAATTTGAGAAAACATAAAAAATGTGTTTTATGGGTCAATAGATGGCAGCTGGGAAGAGGGTGGAGAAAATATCATAAGATAGTCCATATTAGAGAGATAAAGAAACTAACTAGTACAGAAAGTCTGTTTCACTTTGTAACACCACTAATTTTATTTATGAATTCTACTTTTGTCAAAGCAAAGCATTTTTATTGATCTGTCTGTTGTAATTCAGTTATTGTGGGAATTTGTGAATGCTAATATGCAGCCAAATACAGTTAATTCAAATTTTTTATTATTTTTTTTATGATGATGATGATGATAAAGATAATTTCATCAAGTGTCTGATTTATCATCTTTTTTGCTTGAAGATTTAAAGTTAATTTTTGGTTATTTTAGAACTTGGTTGGTCAATATAATGACTGTCTACAAAAATTTGTAGACTGTTTTACCATTTGTTTGCTATGTATTTCAGTTGGTGCAATAAAGAGGAAGACAGTCCTTCAAAACTTGATAAACCTGTAAATGGCGATGTTGATGCTGTTCATATTTCAAATTTATCAAATACATTTACGTCAGACTTAATAATAACAAAAGAAGATAACGAAACCCAAGAATTGGTTAATAACAATGTAAGTACTGTCACACGAAGTGTGGAGGATGACCTGAATATTCAAAATGGTTTGCAAACTAATCAGTGTCTGCCAAATGGAGATGTTCCAAAGTTACAATTATCAAATATCATAACTCGAGAAAGGCTAAAGTCCACATCATTGGTGAAGACGCCCATCACTGACGGTGCTTTACAAGACTTCCATCAACATAGGCTTGTGGAAGGCAGTGATCCTTTTGATCTCAAGTATCATCTTTATGCCATAGTGGTATGTATTTAATGTCACACTTAAATTATATACACTGTGATGGTTGTTTTTTCTCAATATAAATTACAATTAGATATCCTTCCAAAGATGGAAATTTAGTTTTAGAACCTGTACAATCTAAATCTTTAAGATGACATTAATTATCCTTTTCAATTTTTAGTAATTTACTTAGCTTAAAGAACTTTGTATTGATATAAAGTACTATATGCATTGTAATGTATTGTTTAACCATGATAACGGGTGTTGGTACTAATTACTTTTAGAACATTGATATATCAAAATAAGTTATTTTTGAACATTTTATTTTCTCTGTGTGCATTTTATTTTCTTTCCACAGTCACATTCTGGAATTCTGGGAGGTGGGCACTATGTTTCTTATGCTTGCAATCCCAATGGCAAATGGTATTGCTACAATGATAGTAGCTGTAAGGTGAGTAATCACATGTTCAAATGTTTCTACTTCCTTTCAATGGAACATCTTGGAATTTTCAATTTAATTCCTAAATGCATTCAATCGGAAAATGCATTATATTGCTTTGCAATGTAAATTGTAAAAGGTATCAGATAAGTCACTAAGTTATGAGCCCTCTTGTTTCACTAATTGAATAACGTAAAAGAATTAATTGTGGATTACATAATAATAATAATAATAATAATAATAATAATAATAATAATAATAATAATAATAATAAAAATAAAAATAAAAATAAAAAATAATTAAGTGGCAGATGTCTCGTTTTTTGCTGGTCATGAAATTTTTGAAAATTGATAAAATTTTGAAATGTGAAAAGTATGTGCGATTGTATCTCCTAATTTCTGGAAAAGTATTCTAAAGTACAGTATTTGTAGGGAATGAATTTTCATGTAAATTACATTTTGATAAGAACAAGATAACTGCATTACTTTTTTGTTTTTGGAGATTACTGAGTATTTTGAATGAATTAGAACTATTTTTATTTTATATACTTTTGACAGATTTTGGTGTATTTACACATTTTTACATATATTTAATGCAAACTTACTGCATATTTTATAAACTATTCGTTGTATTTTAATATATTTATATGTCAAAATTAAATATTTTAGCTACAAGTTTGCCAATATATGTTATGTTAATGGATTCATCTTTCTTAAAAACAATGTAATACTATTGTGTTACTGTGTCCACCGGATCATGAATTGTCAAACTATTTACCCCCTTCTTGGAATCTGTGGACTCAGAATCATTGATCGATGTTTTGAAGTAGAAGTAATCTCAACCATGAGCTTACTCACATTTCATAGAGCCCATGTGTATCTCGATCAAAAACTGACAGGGACATACTTTTTATAGATCATTGTCTTGTTGCTTTGTTTGATTTGGAGGAACGTCCTTCTTCATCATCCGTGATTTATTACGGGCTATGTTGTACGGCTGTTCACTTGTGTGCCAGCTCCTCGTAAATATTGTAAATCCTATGGACAAATGTTGAGTAAAACTCATTCTGTTTAATGAAGGATGATGATCAATTACTTCTGTAGAAGTAGAACTTTCTTTCAGTCGCTTTGAATGCATTTTAAGACCCGATTAGTGATGTTTTGTATTCGGAAATGCATTAAGGGAGCAATTTAAACACTATAATATAATATTTATTTTACATTTTTTTTGTACATAAAATACATTTATATGTCCATATTTTGCTTTTTCTATTACAATTGATCCTGTTTCCTAGAAATTAGTGTAAAGAATTATAATTATTTCATAAAGTCACTGATGCCACTAGTTTGTAACTAGCTGGACTGAACAAACTAAATGCTTGTATTGCATTTTGGATTTCATAATTCTTAATAATTTTAGTTTGATGTTGCACAGGAGGTGAATGAGCCGCAGATTGACACTAGCTCAGCATACATGTTATTCTATGAGCGTGAAGGGCTTTGCCAGCAACAGTACATGCCCAGCATAGCTGGCAAAACACCCGATACCCGTGACCTAGATGATGACTTTGAATCGGACTTCAAGAGGCTGTGTTGTGTCATGTGAAGAACTTGTGGTGTGCAGAGCTGCCCGCTGTTTTCTGCTGCATGCTTTTCCTCCTGCCAGTATGTGTGCGCGGTGTATGTGTGTGAGTGGATGCCTTTACATGTGCATATGCACATGTGTGTCACAAACTGCACAGCTCTGAAAAGAAAGCCCTTTCCAATTGGTTCTCATACTCTTTGTGTGTATTAATATCACATTGATTTCAAATTCAAAACTTTTGCTCAATGTTTGAATGCATTCATTAGTCATATGCCTCTTGTTAATAATACGGTGAAGCACAGTCCTATTGTTACTCACCACTATATCTTCCGTAGTAGTGCTTTATTGCTTGCAAGATGAATGTGAAATCTGCAGAGATCATAGTTAACCCATAAAGGGGTGATAAAATTAAGAAAAATATTTACCATGAAACAAAAAAGAAACAAGGTTCTCTGTCAAAGGAATTTTGTTTTTAAAGAAATATTATAGATGTTTATTGTTGATTATGAATCACAATTACAAGCTGGCCTTGTCATGTTCTTGTGAAAGTTCCTTGTTCTTTTTTTGGTAGTGGTAGCGATTCAAATATCATTTATTTGATAAATTGTGATGACCTGACATTGTATTATACTCCATATTACATGGCATATATTCATGTACATAAAGCGATTAGAATGAAATGTTAGTATGATAGTTCTGAATTTTGGAAAAAAAAAGGAGTATTCTTATTTGCTGTTTTTATTTAGAATATTGTCAGTTTTAGGTTTTTTATACCCCAGGATGGGTGATTATGTTTGCAGCTATATTAATATATTTTTTGAAAGAAAAAGAACAATACTGAATGATGTCTGAACAGTCAATTATTTATTATGGAAAGATTTGCATAATTGTAAAATTCAACAAAATGTGTATATATTAAAGAAAACCATTAGATGCACAGCAGCTGAAAAAGGCATGTTAATAGCATAATGCTTTTGCTAGAGAAAAATATGTAGCTTTTTTTCTCAAGAGAACAGTGTGCTATTTATACCACATCTATTTTGACTGCTTTTGTACCGATTTGCAGTTTAAAATATTGTACCTCAAAATTGATGTTTCACATGGTTTTTAGTATTGTACTTGTTTTTGCATTCCATACATCTATTGTTGTTTTTATAGTAATGTGGAAAATAATTTTTGTGGTGTAAATAAAAGCATTTATTTTCTATGACAATATAAAGTTTATGCAGTTTGTTAATTCTGAAGAAGCACTAACATTTTAAAAATCAAGTGAGGTATTTTAGTTTTTAAATATTGCTTCTGTTCTCTTTCTAATTTATTTCTTATCATCCTTATTTACTTGCACTTTGCCTTTTTCCTTACAAATCTGTCACTTTGGTGCAATACAAAATAATATTCTGTATCAGATCTTTTGGTTTCTCTTTTTTTTTTTTTTTTTTACATACTGTCATCCAGGAAAGTATGCTTTTGAAATGGTTTAATGCTGTGGACATGTCTTAATGCTTTTATTATGTCTATATTAATTTTCTCTGTTCATATTGTTTTCTGTATGATAGTAGTATTCTTCTGTACCTGGATATTACAGTCTAGCAAGTTAAAAATTAAAGTATTAATATATGAGTGAATATATATCTAAATGTGCATATGATATTTATTTTGAGGAAAATTTGCTACACAATTATTTCAGCATTCTTATTTACGATTTTTCTCTTTTCACAACTGCTGTTCAATTTAATTTATATGTGAAGCCAAAGATCATAATCTGCTGTTGGATGATTAGTTCTTAATTTTGAGATAATTTTTATGTCAGAATAAAGTTTATGCAATTAAGCATACATGTGCAGTTTTCATTATTGATTTTTTTTTTAAAGTTAGGAAGAAACCTCTCAGTTCATTTGCATTATTTATGCAGAGCTGATGAGTGACCTGTTAATATGTCCTGTAGAAAGTGTACATGTATATTGCTGAATTGTTTATTAAAGCAAAGTACTTGTGTTTTCCTTCATCACCAAAGATAAGTGTTAATTATGTGCCATGTTTGAATAAAAAGCATCAAAAGCAGAATGAGCAAATGTTTGTAATTATGAATTAAGCATGCTGAACTCATGTCTGTATCTTATTTTTCAATATTGTCCAGTATAGTTTAGAATTAAGCTGTTATTGTGTTGTTGTATTGTTGTTATGTTTAAATAATTGTTGTAAGTTTAACTATCTTTGTGCAAGTAAAAAAAATAAGATGAAAAAGAGTAGTGAAATCCTGTTATAAGAGAGCTTAGAGTAAATTTTCTCTCTCATAGGTGGAAATTGGGGCCTGATTATTGTTTCCTATGTGTGGGATTCTGTTTAAGGGCATCTCTTATAACAGGGTTATGCCTTAAATATATATATTTAGAGTATTGTTTTCATTAATATTTTATTAATATAACTCCCCCCCCCCCCCGCGATTATTGATTATTTTAATTCACACCATGTTTTATTGTGATTTTAAAAGTATTCTGATTTGAAGAAAATACTAGGTGATTAGAATTACAATTACAATATTTCAAACTTTGAAACATTCAGAAGCAGAGTACTACTTTCGGCAATATCTAACATTTGGTGGGTGACTGGAAGATAAATGTTTTCCTACTTTTGTTCTCAAAAACCTACAAATTTAGAGTTGTTCTTTAAAAGTCAATGTGCAATTTGTTATAAATGAATATCACAGTACGAATTTCTTTGATTGTCAATGCTGGGATCTCTGAAAGCTTTTTTACTATTGTGCTATATATTTTGAGGATTCAGAAGTTTGAAAACTACTTTTGAGTATTCTTTCTGTTAAATACAAAATTGGTGAAGCTATGTTCAGATGAAAAGTTAGTTGTTATTGTATGAAGTTGTACAAAGTTGGAATGAAGATACATTCCTGCTTTGAAACATCCAACAGTTACTTATTACCTCAACTGTTGGTTTTATTTATAAAATGGAAAATGTTCCAGTGTAAATTATAAATTTTATTGTTAATGAACGTTAAGTAAGATCCTATTTGATATAGCATTTACTTTGGTACTTTCCGTGTGTGATATGGTAAATTTGTGAATATTTTTTGTTGCTGTAGCAGTAAAACAAAAAGGGAAGATCGGTGTATTATTTGGATGGCAGGTATGCAGTAATGTTATGTCTTATTGCAGTTGATAAATCTTGGGAAACATTTTTAAGTACACTTGTTATATTGGTCAGTAAAAATGTATGTTATTTTTACACTATTTACATTTAGAGAGAAAATATATTGAAAATTTATACAACTGATATTATATAGATTAGTGAATGTAAAAGCATATGGTTGTATGTGTACATTTATTACCCATATAGTCATGTGTAATACTGTATATACAGTTTTGTAGATTACTTACATTGTTTCTCTTTGTGCATAATATATTGTTGAAATGGGCTGTAGATAAGGATTGGGTTTGAAGAGTTGAGTTAGGCAGCAGGTGCAATCTCCACTACCTAGTTCATGCTTATGTGACCACCACTGCTCCTTTCTCAGGTTCTTGTTTGTTTGTTTTGTTTATGTATGTAGGCAATCCTGAGAAAAGATATTTTGCTAGTCTTAAATTGCCTGTAAAGATTGGATTTATAAAAGACATGAACATTATTCATTGATCCGATTTATCCAGTTTTGCAGTCAGTTTTTTCTTGTATGCATGTAACTATACATGCATGCGTAAATGTAAGAATGAAAGAGTGATTATGAAGATAAAAATTCCATTATATCATTATTCCAGTTTTTTTATTATTATTATTATTATTATTTTAAAATTTGTTCTTGTTCTTGCAACTGTTCTTCGTTTGGCTGCAAATACTTGCGGCTGTTTCTTCTAAGAGGTAGTAGTCTATGGCTCTACAACATGTGGAAGTTGAATGTCTTGTTGAACTATCTCAGTTGTCTAGTGTACTTTTCAGAGTATAATTTTTTTTTAAAGAAAATATATCATTCTTTCTGTAAGAGGTGAAGGCTGACTCAGATAAATAAAGAATTTTCTGAAGTTTTTAGTTCTGAATTTCATATGTACATCAATTCTCAAGTTGTTAAAATTTTGTTATCCATATTTAGACATTAATTGAAAATGGCTTTCAATGTGGTTAATGCCGTTTGTCTAATTGTGTTGTAGAGCTACACACTAATTTTTTGTGATGGATATTGACTTTTCAAAAACTTTGTATTAGTATTTTCAGCAGTAAATTCATCCTTACCTGGAAATGATTGGTGTATACAGATGTATACAAAAGACTAAACTAATGTAAATATGTATTATTTTCGTATGATATGAGCATTTCAGCTGCAAATGTATTTGAGAAACTAGTTGTGTGTCTGTGTACCACACAAATGTCACTCTTATCATATCTGTAACAGTATTGAAATTAAACGCTATTAATTGAATTTTTATTAATAATTATTACCACCTTGCATTTGTTTCCATGATATAAGAGCATTTGGTTTTTGTTTGCATTGATGCTCCAATATATTACTTTAGTAACAATAAATCAGTGTGAAGTGCATTGTTTCATTTATGTCAATCATCCATAAGGTGTGTTGTTGAAATTCTACCTTATAATGTTGCAATGTATTTGTGTGTGTGAGCACATTGATTGTTTGAAACAAACATATGGATTTGCCCAAATTAATGTTTATTTATAGGCAAATATGGATTAACAGGAGGTTATTTGGTAAATCCATTTAGACATGTGAAAGGTGCTGATTTATGTGACAGCAATTTCCATTAGCAATCCCACAACTACTAATGGCAATGAATTTTTCATTGATTCAAGTATCTTACCAGATGCACCGTGTGTGTGTGTGTGTGTGTG